TGGAGCAAGAAAGGCATTTGCAAGGGGCCAACATGCCAAAGTCGAGGTACAACAAGTGGACGAGAATTGACCAGTGATGAACTTCGGCCTGTTGATGTAGGGAAAGTCAAGAGACCCGACAATGACGCACTGATGATAACAACACAAGTGTCGGGGTACAAAGTTTAGAGAGTGTTTGTAGACACGGGAAGTTCGGTGAATGTCATCTTCTATGATTACTTCAAAAGGATGGAGCTCGACATTGAACTCACAGCCTTACACACATCGCTTTATGGGTTCAATGGGTCAGAAGTAGCACCATTAGAGAAACCATGCTAGCAGTAGTCTTGGGGGAAAGTGACTTGGAAAGGTGAAGATGGTGAGATTTGTAGTGGTGGATGTCTGGGAAGACCAGCGCTCAATGCGTTCCAAGAAGTGGTATCCACTTACCACATGAAGCTAAAATTCCTCGTCGGAGATCGAGTCATGGAGGCCCGTAGAGACCAGAAGCTATCGAGAACCTGTTATCAGATAGCGGTATAAACTAACCAACGTGCCGAGTTTAAAGAAGGAAAGCAACCCATATCGGGTGACAAAAGAGCGAGAGGGAGCGACCTCGAGCCACATGAGGAATGGATGGAAATCCAAATTGGAGAGAGGTAGGATCAAACCATGAAAGTGGGAAATGAGCTGGAAGACAAGTTAAGAGAGCAGCTTGTGGGGTTTTTGAAGGAAATTAGAGATATATTTGTCTTCTCTTCAGAAGAGTTGACAGGGATAGACCCAGAAATCATGGAGAGGAAGGCGTTGAACAAATGACGCATGTGCATCGACTTTCGAGACTTAAACTTGGCGTGTCCAAAAGATCACTGCCCATTGCCAGGAATCAATCAGCTAATCGACTCTATGGCTGGCTGCGAGTTGTTAACAATGATGTACGCATCGCAGGGATACCACCAATTCCCCTAGCACCAGAAGATAAAAGCAAAGTGAGTTTTGTGACGAGCAAGGGGACGTATTGCTATGACGTCATGCCCTTTAAACTTAAGAATGCGAGAGCGACATACCAAAGGTTAATGGATTGAATGTTCAAATCACAAATTGGGCGTAATATGGAGGTGTATCTAGACGACATCTTAGTGAAGAACAGGAGCTCAATGTTGCATGCTGGCAATTTAAGGGAAACATTCAGCACACTCAGAACATTTGGAATGAAGTTGAACCCAAGAAACTACGCCATTTGAGTAAGAGCTGGACGATTTATGGGATATGTTGCAACGGAACAAGGAATAGAGGCGAACAAGGAGGAATGTAAGCCATACTCGACATGGCCCCACCGCGAAACATTCGCGATGTGTAATTCTTTACTAGACGGATTCCTGATTAAGCAGGTTCATTGCTTGAGCTGCTGAGAGAAGTTTCCCTTTCTTTAAACTACTAAAAAAGAAGTCGACGTTCCTATAGAGTGAGGAATCATAGATGTCATTCGAGAAGCGAAAGGAGTTCTTGATTGAGTTGCCTTTGCTGACAAAGCCAGAACCTGATGACGAGTTGGTGCTGTATATTTCTGTTGTAGTGGTGTCTTTGAGCCCCTTACTTTGAAAGGAAGCAGAGTCCCAACAACCGATTTATTACACAAGCAGAGTACTCCAAGGAGCGGAGCCAAGATACACTTAAGTCGAGAAAGCTATGTTGCCTCTTGTGAAAACAACTAGGAAGTTGAGACCATACTGCCTCATTCATACAATAGTGGTGAGAACAAACTTCCAGTTGGCAGAAACACTTGGTCGACCTACGGTATCAGGTCGACTTGTCAAGTGGGCAGTTAGGTTGAGCAAGTACACTATCAAGTACGGGCCTAGACGAGCGATAAAGGCTCAAGCATTGGTCGACTTCATTCATGAATGCACTATGGGAGAGGAAAAGAAGTGGATAGTGTATGTAGACGGGTCCTCTGCTGCTAAGGGATTAGGACTCAGAATAGTCCTTGTCACTCCATAGTCGAGCAACTCGACTTTTCCATAAGAATGAGGTTTAAGGCATCGAATAACGAAGCAGAATATGAGGCACTCATCAAAGGAATCCAACTCACAATAGGAGGAGAAGCAACTGAAATAATGGCACATTCCAACTCACAACTTGTGGTGGGTCAAGTTATGGGGAAAATACAAAGTCTGGTGCAAGGGCTGAAGAGTTTTGAGTTAATACAAATACCAAGGGAGGAGAACAAGAGGGTAGACTGGCAAGCATGACTCACTAGCTCAAATGATGGAAAGACGGGAAAGAACATCACAACTTTACAATTGGAGGGAAGTGTTCCAGGAGAAACTATGGAAGTCGAGCAAAATGAGGATTGGAAGTCGATGATTAAAGAACTCATGCAGGGACATATCCCCATAGGGGATAAGCAACAAGCGAATAAGATAGCCCGATATTTGAGCAAGCATTTTGAAATCGACGGGGTCCTTTACAAAAAGTCATTTGTTAGGCCCCATTTGAGATGTGTTTTTCAGAGGATGAAGGAAGCTATTTCTTGAAGGAAATTAAAAAGGATGTTGTGGAGCACATGCTTGAGCTCTAGCGGGAAAGGCCATGCGAGCATGCTACTATTGGACAAAAGTGCAAAAGGCAGCAGAGAAATTGGTGAGAGAATGGGAGATCACTCTGTAGATACATAAAAATTGTGTCCAATCAAATCGCGCCACGTGGAAATTAATTTATTAAAAATCAAGTTATATTTTCTATTTATATTTTAGGAATTTCCATATATTTAATTCCTAAATTTAAATAGTTAATTAATTGATAATTTAATATTTTAATTCTTGACCAATCAAATAATGCCAAGTGTCAAATCCTTATTCTTGGTAAATAAATCATATCTTCTAGAATATATTAGAAGATTTAAGTGGATCTAGAAGATCTTGGGAGATCTAAGTAGATCTTAAAGATCTTATGTGAATCATCATGGACCAATCAAATCGCGTCCTACGATTCTTAAATTTGGTAGGGTGCTCTCTCCTACACCTATAAATAGGGGCTCTCCCTAATGTCAAAAATATCATAATTCATATTTTGAATTCAAGAGCTCTAGAGAATTCTCTCTACAAGTTTCAAGTGTTCTTGAAGATTCGAAGTTGTTCTTGAAGATTTGAAGGAAGATTCAAGCTTAAAACCGACGTTTAATCCGGAAACAAGCTGTCAAGCCTCCGAATTGCGTTCATATTCAAGTTCAAGTTCAAGATCTCTCGACGAGATTCAAGTGTTCTTGAAGATTTAAAGGCGTTCTTGAAGACTCAAAGCAAGATTCAAGCGCGTTCAACCTCAAGACTAGCGTTCAATCCGGAAACAAGCTGCGAAGCCTCCGAATAACGTTAGTAAATTCAAAACCGGCGTGAAGAAGATTCGAGATCTACTTTGCGGCGAAGACCAAGAATTCGTGTTCTTCGCGTTCTTGGGATATTTTGACGTTTTATCCGAGAAAAAGCTTTCAAGCCCTCGGATTACGTTAATTCAAGTCAAATCATGTCAAGGAGAAGATCAAGCCGAAGATTTCGCTCCAAGACTTATTTTTTTTTTTGTGAGAAGAATCAGAGGAATAATAGAGATTGTAACCCGCTATATATATTTTGATTCGAGAAATTTATTTGAATAATATTTTTCGTGTTTTTTAAATTCAATACACGAAATTTGTTGTTACAAAATTTTGGCACGCCCAGTGGGACATCTCTACCTCTCATCTCTTCTCCAAAGTTCCTCAAGTCCTCATGACTAGCCGCAAGATTGCCATAGTCAAGATTCCTTCAAAAAGTTCCTCAAGCTTCAACCTCGGCGTCGTTACAAGAAGCATGGCCAAGCAACTGCAAACATCTTTGAAGATGGCTCCTTTGCACGAGGTGATTGGAAGTGATAAGCTGCATCTTACCCACGAAGGTGATGAAGACGACTCTGCTTCTTCAACTCCTCGTTCATCATCAAGTTCTTCATCAAGCTCAAGTGTCGCTCCAGCTATGACAACCATGCGTCAACTCTTGAAGAGCACATCGCAAGCTTAATGAAGGTTATTGAAAGGCTCGCGAAGAAAGTCGAAGAGCAAGACTCTCAAATCTCAAAGCTAATGGACAAGGTCGACAATGCTGAAACAAGCCACGCAAATGGCAAACGAACTGAAGATCGTGAGGAGTCTGAAACGTCCAAGCAAGAGCAATATGAAGAAAGAGAGAAGACTCCATTACAACACTCATCCACGGGAATGATCCCCAATTATCAACTGAAAGATTTCATCATGGGAACAATTAAGGACAAACTTGATGGTGGTTCCAAGTCAACCCACAGCTACGTCAAGCCATATTAACCAAGGATCGATAACTTGAGGATGCCTGTTGGATATCAATCTCCCAAGTTCCAGCAGTTTGATGGCAAAGGAAACCTGAAGCAACATATAGCCCACTTTATTGAGACATGCAACGATGCGGGAACCCATGGTGATTATCTCGTGAAGCAGTTTGTTCGTTCCCTCAAAGGGGTTGCATTTTACTGGTACACTGATTTAGAAGCAAACTCCATCGATAGTTGGGAGCAAATGGAGCACGAATTCCTTAGTTGCTTTTACAGCACGAGACGTACGGTCAGCATGATCGAGCTCACTACATCTCGACAATGGAAGGAAGAGCCAGTCATCGACTATATCAATAGGTAGAGGAACCTAAGTCTGAATTGCAAGGATCGTCTGTCTGAGCCTTCTGCCATTGAGATGTGCATTCAAGGTATGAGTTGGGGTCTTCGTTATATCCTTCAAGGTATTCGGCCGAAAACATTCGAAGATTTAGCGACTCGAGCCCACGACATGGAGCTAAGCTTGGCCGCAAGCGGAGCTAATGGTCCTCCAATCCAAGAACCCCAAAGCTCCAAGGATAGATACGAGAAAAAGAAAGGGGGCAAGTTTTCCTCGAAATCTCAAAATAAGGAGTCCATGACGATCAATGCTATGCCTGTCATGTTCAAAGGAAAATCTTCTGATAAAGCCGTTGAAAAAAAGGATGTCCCTAAGGAAATTGAACAAAGAAGGTTGAATCTGAAAGAAATGCAAGCAAAGCAGTACCCATTCCTTGATTCAGATGTCTCTGGCATATTTGACGATCTTATGGAAGCAAAACTCATTGAGTTACCTGAGATGAAGCGTCCTGAAGAAGCTGGCAGGGTGAACGGCCCAAAATATTGCAAATACCACCGTCTTGTAGGGCATCCAATTCATGATTGCTTCGTATTCAAGGACAAGGTTATGCAGCTAACACGCCAAGAAAAAATCTCACTGGAAGAAAGCAGTGCAACTGCTAATCATATAAGTGAAGCTTGCAATATGACAAATGAGCACGAAGCTCTGCTAGAAGAAAACAATTTGCCTGAGGTTGAAAATCGCCATGTTGATAATGATTCCATGATGGTCTTTACTGATGAAGATCTGCTGCTTGGTTCTAAGCCTCACAACAGACCCTTGTTCGTGGCCGGATATGTGCAAGAGCAAAAGATTAATCGAATATTGATTGATGGAGGATCAGCAGTCAACATCTTGCCTCTTCACACGCTGAAAGAGTTAGGAATGACTACGGAAGAACTTGGTAATAGTCGACTGATGATTCAAGGCTTTAACCAAGGGGGGCAAAGAGCTCTTGGCATCATAAGGTTGAGGTTGCTGATGGAGGATATGGAATCAACTACTATGTTTCATGTCATCGATGCAAAAACTTCTTACAATATGCTTCTTGGTCGTCCATGGCTTCATGAGAATGGTGTGGTTCCATCCACATGGCATCAATGCTTCAAATATTGCAAAAATGGCGTTGTGAAGACTGTGCTTGGTGATGATAAACCTTTTACGGAGACTGAAACTCATTTCGCTGATGCCAAATACTATTTCAATGATGCAAAACCAGTTGAGAAAGTCTCGTCTAAGCAGCATAAAGGGTCTGAAAGTGAAGAATCAAAGATTGAAGAGGTAGAAAACTCTTTGAAAGAGTTAGTGTTGCCGCTGCCGAAGGTAGATGACGAGAAACCTATCTCCCAACATGAACTTTGTTCATCCAAGAAAAGGAGCTGTGACGGAGCATAGTGAAGGATTGAAGAACTCTAAGTGTTTTGATCCAAAAGCCTACAAGCTTCTCGTCAAAGCAGGATACAATCCCAATGAAAGTCGCTCTTTGGGAAAGCTCATACCTCAAGAGCAAAAGCACAACCGGGCAGGTCTTGGAACAGGTCTTGGATATGTGGCATCGAGTCCAATTAGAATCTCCATCAAGAGAGCAAACACCAACTATGTCTCGGAAGGAGAGTTCTCGTCTTCTGACGGTGAAAAGAAAGAGAAAAGAGTATCGGTGTTTCAAAGACTCGGTCCGGTGTGAAATTCAAAAGGCAAACAATCTGTGTTTCAACGACTGGGATCCTTCAAGCAGTCAAAGCCTTTAAGACAAGAAAAAGGTGTAAGCCCGGCTCCAAAGCTTAAAGTCTAATTCCGTCAGGTATGAAACGTCAAACTACTTTGATCGTATCACGTGGTGAAGTTTTAAAAGCAAAAATGCACACGATCATTCATACAAGAGTACATGATGATGAAGATGATGATAGAGAAAGTGTCGCTTCATCTTACTATGCTTGCGGAACTCTCACAACTCCTCGAAATGATGAACGTGATCTTTACCGGAAGATAACTTATTTGGTGAGAAAAATGTATATTGCTGGAGTTGATGAAAATGTGCAAACACGATTTGTCACGGGAAGAAATGGACGGGTGCAAGCATGTATCGACTTCAAAGCTCTTGGTGAGCCGACCGAAGATATTTCACATGTGAACCATATCACTATATGCGAGGATGCTCCAATAGAGGAGGAAGATGCTGAAGACGCACCTCCCGAGCTTGAAGAAGGTGTTAAGGCCACAGTCGATGAACTAAAAGAAATCAACTTGGGTGATGTTGACGATCCTCGCCCGACGTATATCAGTGCCTTGCTAACTGTAGATGAAGAAAAGACCTACATAGAGCTTCTTGGTGAGTTTAAGGATGTATTCGCATGGTCATATAAGGAGATGCCTGGACTAGACCCAAAGGTGGCGGTGCATAACTTGTCCGTGAGAAAGGGGGCAAAACCTGTTAAACAAGCACAACGAAGATTTTGACCTGAGTTGATCCCACTGATCGAGGCTGAAGTAAATAAACTCATTGAAGTTAGATTCATTCGTGAAGTTAAATATCCTACGTGGATCTCGAGCATCGTTCCTGTCAGGAAGAAAAATGGCCAAATTCGAGTTTGCGTGGATTTTCGAGATCTTAACGAGGCGTGTCCCAAAGATGATTTTTCGTTGCCTATAACGGAGCTTATGATTGATGCTACAACTGGACACGAAGCGTTGTCTTTTATGAATGGTTCGTAAGGATACAATCAAATACGCATGTCTCCAAAAGACGAAGAGTTGACGGCATTCCGCACTCCAAAGGGTATATACTGCTACAAGGTGATGCCATTCGGCTTGAAGAACGCTGGAGCTACATATCAAAGGGCAATGCAAAAAGTGTTTGATGACATACTCCACAAGAACATCGAATGCTATGTTGATGATGTGGTGGTAAAGTCGAAAAGGCGAGACGACCACCTACAAGATTTGAGAATGGTTTTTGAACGCCTAAGAAGATATCAACTCAAGATGAATCCGTTGAAATGTGCATTTGGTGTCAAGTCGCGGAAGTTTCTTGGGTTCATTGTTCGTCACCGTGGAATAGAGATCGAGCAAGCAAAAGTCGACGCGATACTAAGAATGCCCGAGCCTCGCAACATTCACGAGCTTAAAAGTCTACAAGGAAAGTTGGCGTATCTTCGAAGGTTCATCCCAAATCTAGCCGGACGATGCCAACCTTTTAGTCATCTAATGAAGAAAGGTGTTCCTTTTGAGTGGGATCAATCTTGTACAAATGCTTTCGAAAACATAAAGGCATATCTGATGAAGTCTCCCGTGTTAGTCGCACCCGTGTCTGGTCGTCCTCTTATTCTTTACATAGCAGCACAAGAACGTTCTGTTGGAGCTTTGCTGGCTCAAGAAAGTGATGATGGAAAGGAGAGTGCATTATATTATTTGAGCAGAACGATGATGCCGAACGAGCTGAACTATTCACCGATCGAGAAAATATGTTTGGCACTAATCTTTGCAATTCAGAAGTTGAAGCATTATTTTCAAGTTCATACGGTCCGTCTTGTTTCAAGGGCAAATCCATTAAAATATGTCATGACAAGACCTGTCCTCTCAGATCGTTTAGCTAGGTGGTATCTTCAACTTCAACAGTTTGAGATCGTCTACATCCCTCAAAAGGCGGTAAAAGGACAAGTTCTGGCGGACTTCTTAGCTGATCACCCTATTCCTGCTGAGTGGGAGTTGTCCGATGAACTACCCGATGAAGATGTTCTTCTCATTGAAATAACTCCACCTTAGAAGATGTACTTTGATGGAGCGTCCCATAGAGAAGGAGCTGGTGCTGGAGTCGTCTTTGTGACATCCCATGGAGAAGTGCTTCCGTATTCCTTCACTTTGACTGAAAATTGCTCAAACAATGTTGCGGAGTATCAAGCTCTAATTCTGGGGTTGGAGATGGCCGTGGACATGAAACAACTACATCTGAAAGTCTATGGCGATTCGAAGCTAGTAACCAACTGCTTGGAGAATACGATGTAAAGAAGCCTGAGTTGCTCCCGTATGTCGACTATGCGAAAAGGTTCATGGGATGGCTTGGAGATGTTACGATCGAACATGTGTCGAGAAAGAATAATAAACAAGCTGATGCTTTGGCAAAACTCGCTTCTTCACTAATTCTCCCCGAGGATAAGGCTCGAGTGCAAATTTGTAGAAGTTGGGTTATACCCTCGATTTTTGACGATGATGATTGGAATGAAGATGAAATTCATGTGGTTGAAGTATTTGAAATTGAGAAAGAAGATTGGCGTCAATTGCTCGTGGATTTCTTGAAGTATGACAAGTTGCCCAACGATCCACGACAAAGGGTTGATGTTCGACGACGTGCGCCTCGCTTCATTTATTTAAATGATGTGTTATATATACGATCGTTCGATGGAGTATTCTTGAGATGCTTAGGCGACGAAGAAGCTGCTCAAGCCATTGAAGAAGCTCACTCGGGCATTTGTGGTGCTCATCAGTCTGGTCCGAAGCTACACTTTCGAATTAAGAGAATGGGATACTACTGGCCCACAATGGTTAGAGACTGCATGGATTATGCCCAAAGATGTCAAGCGTGTCAATTTCATGCAAATTTGATCCATCAGCCTCCTGAGCCGTTGCACCCTACTGTCGCTTCATGGCCTTTTGATGCTTGGGGATTAGATGTGGTTAGTCCTCTGACAAAGTCTTCGGGTGGTCATCTTTATATTTTGGCTGCGACTGACTACTTATCGAAATGGGCTGAAGCGGTTCCCTTGAAAGAAGTGAAGAAGGAAAACGTTGCTGACTTTATTCGTGTAAACATCATCTACCGCTATGGAATTCCACGGTATATATTAACGGATAATGGGAAGCCTTTCAGCAACAACTTGATCGATAAGCTTTGCGAGAAGTTCAACTTTAAGCAGAGAAAATCTTCTATGTACAATGCAGCGGCGAATGGACTTGCTGAAGCATTCAATAAGACTCTGTGTGGTCTTTTGAAGAAAGTCATAGCCAAGTCAAAAAGGGATTGGCACGAAAGAATTCATGAAGCGCTTTGGGCGTATCGCACCACCTATCGAACTCCCACTCAAGCGACTCCGTACTCGCTGGTATATGGTGTTGAAGCTGTCGTGCCCCTCGAACAACCAATCCTATCATTGAGGATCGCCATACAAGAAGGGTTGACCGAGGAAGATAATGCACGGCTGTGTCTCCAGGAATTAGAAGCTCTTGATGAGAGGAGGTTGGAAGCGCAACAAAGACTTGAATGTTATCAAACCTGTCTTTCAAAGTCGTTTAATAAGAGGGTCCGAGCTCGTTCTTTTCAAGTAGGAGATTTGGTACTCATTGTGAGAAGACCCATCGTAACCACTCATCGTGTTGGAAACAAGTTCGTGTCAAGATGGGATGGACCATATGTCGTCATGGAGGTCTACACCAATGGCGCGTATAAGTTGATTTCGGAGGATCGAGTCAAGATTGGCCCTATCAATGGGAAATTTTTGAAACGCTACTACGCTTAGTTGTATGTTGTATTTAAAAAAAAAAAAAGAGAGAGAGAACTCCTGACCCGCATGAGTATAAACTGTGAACGGTAATCACCAAAAAGCATTGCATGTGATTAAACTGCTAAATTCTCCACCAATGTGAATATATGTGGTTAAACTGTTAATTCTCCCACTAAGGTGTTATGTGGTTAAACCTAATACTCTACTTTGTCTAAAGTAGTTAAAGAATAGTCACTCCTGGCCTGCATGAGTATAAACTGTGGCACCCCCTATAAACAAATTCATATTCATGTTACTTTAAACTACGTTATGACTTGATCCTTTTAAAGGTACGTAGGCAGCTTAAATATTTTCTAAGTTCAGTCACAAGATATATTCGTCTTTTAAGTTAGTCAAATTCGGTTGATTTGGCGAGGAAATGAAGTGCAACATTTGAGATCGCATGATGTGAAAAGAAACAAATCATTCCATTCCACAACCTTGAGTCTTATTACATGAAGAAATGAATGAAAGAGTCGCAAACATGTCTAAGCAAAGGGATTCAAGCTTCCTAGCTTTTCTTTAGTCGCCCTCAAGTTTGACTTCAACATCTTCAACTGTTTAGCCACTTCTTCGTCCAACGGTGGAGCACTGCTGATGGCGAGGATCTGCTCTTGAGTTAATTTTACCTTGGCCTTGGTACAGTCGAGTGACTCCTGTTGCTGCTTCAATGTTTGGGATAATGTTTCTGCC